GAGAGATTAGTATAAGCTAGTCGCGCTTTTGTTGAAGTCGGATCTCGAATTGCGGCTGGCACACATCTGAAGATAAGGTAGAGTACTGTATATGTACTGATCGTAGAGCGCACCACGCAAGGAAGGAAGGAAGGAAGGTCGCCAGATCGACACTGCCACTGCTCCCTTCGACTTTCGAAAAAAAAAACTTTAGCAAAGCCCTCTATTTTGATCAAAATCTCAAGCTGACTCAATGGACAGCTAATCGAAAGTCTATAAATCAAAAGAACCGTCAGGTCACCTAAAGACCCTGGGGAATGGTTCACCACCAGACAGGAAGGCATCGTAAAGGACCGCGATATTGACGCAGTGAGTGTAACAATGGAGTCGCTGAGGGTGACCGAGCAACCTTGCAATCAAATTAAGCAGCGTCCTGGCTCGCTTCAATGTTTAGATATTTTGCCGCCGTACTTCGAAGTGCCATACAACCGATATGTTTTTCGATAGCTCACAATACAAAAAAATGAGTATGGGAGTGTGATTTTTTAATACAATAAACAACACTCGAAGTTTCTCAATGACATCTAGATTAGTATTGACTTTTACGATATATCACGCACCACGCATCAACTCTATAGCTCCTCTATCAGAAGGATAAGGTTCGCTTAGTCCAGCTTACCGACGCCGAAGTTGCCGGTGGTCTGCTGCCACTCCTTCTCCAGGTTGCTCGTCTGGACAGCCAGCTTCCTCGAGCCCTGGTCCTGCTGCTGCTGCTGCTGCTGCTCCTGGCCCTGGTCTTGCTGCTGCTCCTGCTCCTGTTGTTGCTCGGAGTCGTTCGTCTGAGACGACTGCTGTTGCTGCTGCTGCTCCTCGGACTCGCCCGTCTGGGACTGCTGCTGCGAGCCGTTGCCCTTGGAAGGCTGCTGCTGCTGCTGCGAGCCGGTCGACGGCTTGTACTTCACAAACGTGGAAACGGACTTGATCGTGTTCAGCGCAGTTCCACCGTTACGGGACGTGAAAGCACCGCTGTCCACCACCTTGTTGGCCTCGCACGAACGGCCGATGTAGTTCTTGCACTCGTCACCTCCGGTCGCGGCGTACAGAGCACCGTCCTTACCGGTGTACATCGGCATCTTGGTGTTGCTGAAGTAGTTGCCCTCCGCAAGCACCCAGGCGTTGGCGCCGATCTCGAACGAGTGGCCCGTGTTGTTGCCCCAGAAGTTGTTGGCGACGTGCGCGACGACCTTTGCAGCGCTGTCGCCACCGATCTTGGGCGAGCGGCCCGACGTGCCGTGGATGTAGTTGTTGAGCATGCTGAACTTGGTCACGCCGTAGAAGATGAACGACCAGTAGTGGTGGCCGTCGCACGACGCCGAGTAGTCGGTGTTGCCGTCGAAGTCCGAGTTACTGATGGTCATGGAGTCGGTACTGGCCTTGTTGGTCGTGATGAACTGGCGACCGACACGCGAGATCTTGATGTGGTCGAGCCAAATGTTCTTCATGGCGGTTTTGCCGTGGTCCAGACCCTGGAGGTAGATGGCGTCGCCACCCCAGACGAGGTGTCGGTTGAGCTCCGTGATGTGGACGTTCTGGATAATGATGTTGTTGCCGTTGAGCGTGAGACCCTTGCCCTTGATGACGCCGCTCTTGCCGATGCCACGGATGGTCTTGTTGCCGGTAACAGTCATGCGCTTGAGAGCTGCGTTGTCGTATGTGATCTTCACCTTGGTGCCACCAGTGCAGCCGCCCGTGGTCGCCATGTTGCCGCCCTGGATGATCACATCCTGGCTCTTGTAGCCGTTGTTCTTGGCCATGCACTCGCGAGTGTAGTCCGGACGGCAACCCGTCTCCGTGGTGGTGCCCTCCGTGCCTCGGAAGTCGAACGTCTTGTTCAGCACGACCACAAGCGGCTCGCTGGACGCGAGGTACGAGACGAGCTCGCTGGTCGACTTCGGGTACACGGTCTTGCCTCCCGCTCCACCGGTGGCGCCGGCGGCGAGTCCCTCGGGCGAGCCGACAGTGAAGGCACTGGCGCTCTTCACGACGAGGGCCAAGACGGCAGCAATAGCGAAATTGACGCGCATGGTAAAAGTGGCTTGAGTTCGGCGGGTGGGGAGCTGTGCTCAAGGCGAGGCAAATTGGAAAGTGAGAAACGCAGCGGTAGCTGATTGGAGCTCAGTTGGTAGGTACAGTACCGTACCCTGATGTTCGAACAGCACAAAAGGTCTCATTAGTTGTAGGCCCTGAAGACCCCGTTCATTGATCTCTCGCCACGTCAAATCTCATAGCCGATCCATTCCATTTGGTGAACGTGGCTGGCGACTTTGACGAAATCGCGCTTCAACTTTCGTACCTGTATATGCCCGCTCGTGGTCCCGATTCATGTGGTTGCTGTCTGTATGGAGACGCATGCACATGCACATGCACATGTACTCGGCGCTCGCTTCACCGTGTGCTTCGCCAGAAAGCCCGCAATAGCGTAACGTCCTTGAGAAAACCTTAATCGTGAACAACGTTTTCGTAGAAATGAACTGACAACCTTATCGAGCAAACGAACGGATAGATGCCATCTGGCAAACCCAGATGTATTGTGCTTTTCAGTTGGTTTGGCGAATCGGACGTGTAAAACAGCTACCTACTAAGATGGGGCTAGGTTATCGGAGCAGATTAGCAGGTCCGTCGTAGGGAATTAGGACCAAGAATTGCTAGTCCGATGGAAGCACTTGCGCAGGTCCTACAAACAGCCGAAAGCCCGAATGTCGCCCATTTTCACGGCATTCGGGGTTTGAGGTCTTACGAAGGACTCCTGCCAAGTCTTGTGGCAGGACTTTCATACGAGCTGACTCTAATACGGCGTATGTCAAACGCAGAATAAACTTAGGGAAACACGATGCAGTCGATACGTTAAACACTCCAGTCTTCGCCCTTCACCTTCGCGAGTTCCGGCATTGCTTGCTTCCTTAAACAAAGCTTGCTTGGCTTGGACTCCAACCGGAGTCCATTGAACGGAAGACTCCGGGAGACCGCTCATCGGACTCATCCGAGATTTGCATCTCAGATTTAGAGACCGCCAACCTCAGATTAACTGACCTCCAAAGTCCTACGCAGGACTCGGCAAAATGACCGAAAGGCACAATACTTATGTAGGTCCAGAGAAACGGTGGAAGTAATGCTTTTCACAGCTGCTTATGTTCACCGTGTTACCATAACTCGGCAAGGCGGTCGAGTTACCATAACTCGGTAAGGCGGCCGAGATACAACTCGGCCAGGCCTTCGTAGCTCGAAGCCTGATCATGCAGACAAGTCGCTGGTATTGCGCGACCTGCCAAGGATACCTCTTGCTGTAGAAGTGGTCTGAGGACGCTGCTTTTAGCGTTGGGACCCCGTACTACGTACTATAAATAGTTGGCACTACACTGTTGCTTGGCGAGACCATCTCTAGCTGTATAGCGTCAATATAGCGAAGACTGTGGTATGAGGGCTCATGCTGCGTTCTGGGCCATCGTAAGGGCAAAAGGGACCACGTTGGGTGCGAGGACAATCGCTGAGAATGCGGCGAATGACCCCCAGAAAGCGTCAGATTGGCTTAAAGAGAGAGCAGGTCGGTACCACCGCAGCTTATGGGGTGTCTTGTTACCAGAAGACAGGAGCGCGTACTTCGAAGCCCACGAAGACCACACATTTCCTCTGGCTGAAGCCCCTAAAGGAATCTACGACGAGCGCAAGGATCGAGTCCCTACATTTGTTCCAGTGACGTCGCCTCGGTTGGTACACTGCTCGCCAACAGACCGCACCGACATCGACGTGGCGGATGGAGCTCTGCTGGGCAGAATTGGTCGGTACAAGGAAGCGAGTACGAACTACGTTGCTACTATTCGTACGGGTGAGCTACTGCGCCTCTCACAAGCATGCAGGGCGTCGGACGAAGCCAAGCAAGCGTTAAGATCGGTCTCAACGATACTGAGCTGCCTAATAAGCGACGTAGGTTGGCAGGTACCAGGGGACAGCCGAAGCTCTGTTGTTGGTGCAATTCGAGCGGCGGCTACAGCTATCGAAGCCGCAACAACTGTTGCCTTGTTGTCATCGGAGGATGAAGTGTCCGACATGGTGGCCAAGTGGCGCGACGACGAGTCAAGAGCTCGGCGCAAACTGCACGAGGTGATTGCAGCAGGTCGCGAAGACAAAAGCTTCTCTGACATCTACTTGACGCGGGACCAACATCCAGGTAAAATGCAAACGTTTTCCGCGTTAGGGTGGCTCGACGTGGAGGACGTCCTCTCGTATGTATCTGCAAACACGCTGCGTGATGGTAGCGAGGAAGCCGAAGCTGGCGATAGTTCTATCCGCCCGGCCAGATCCAAACGAAAAGGCAAAGCTAAACGCCGTCGAGCCCGGAGTAACTCTAGCAGTTAGTTCTTCTTTAATAAAAATAGGCACCCCATTCGATCTAGCACATAATAGACAAAGCCCTTGGCGTGCTAACCTCAAGACGATGGCGCTCAAAAGGATGGCCAAGACGCTTCATCACCCGTGCTGCTCATTGGTGCACGCAGGTTCGATGTCACTGGCACCGACTCGCTAGAGCAAGAGAAGCATTTCCTTTTTCTGCCGGCTGACACGTGGAGGGACTAGGCAACCTTGCTCTCCTTCACCCCTTCAGTTCACCACTCAGGCGCTTATGTTCACCCCCTAGCACTTCATTTCTATTATCAGGATGTTTGTTCACTGACAAGACTGTTAGTTCAGCTCTAAGGAGTTTTAGTTCAGATCGAAGGCTCTCTCAACGTCCTTGGACCCCGCGCCATTAATCACCGCTCACTTGCAACTTTTAATTTCTTTAATTTGGGGCAACAGTCAAACTCTGTGATATCGATTATTTGAGAAGTTACCTATCAGGGAAACTTGCTTGTTCGGCTCGTACATGTACTAGCCGCATACGATACGATTTCAGTCGAAAATGAATAGTGTCATCCACCAAATACATGCAATGGTTCCTTCGACATGAGCAGTATTAAATCTGGAGCTCACTACAGTACTCCTACTTCCGTCGCAGGGCGCTAAGGGTGCTGTAACCTGTAAGGCGTTGTTTGTACGAACTCCAAACCCACGATTTGAAGCATATCTACGTGCCACAGGTGACGAAAAATCAGTGGAAACAGCTGGCCTGTGCTTCGGCCTAATACAAACTATGGGAGACTTGTAAGTTTAGTCAAAATTGGTTTGAAGCCTGGTCTCTCGAAGCGGCTGGCGCACATCTCAAGAAGGAAGTAATATTCTGTATGGTGAAGGACACAAAGAAGAAAAGTGCAATCGATCGAGACTGCAGTATGCAGTCCGCATGCGCGATGATTCGAGCAAAGTCCAATTGTTACATCTGCACTGCTCGAAGTCGTGAGTCCTGTCGGGAAGCCCACCTGACTCAGCCGGATCCACTCGCCGGGCTTGAAGGACCGCTCAGTAATGAATACATGTACCGGTTGACTCAGAGCCAAACATCGATGACCCTGGAAGCTTCATATACATGTACATATGCTGATGTTTCAAAGGTATGTATCACATATATTAGCTCACGATCTCACAACCATTTTTCTTGGCCCACAGCTCAAAAGAGAGGTGAAGTGGGGAGCCAAGCCGAAGCTTTTAATTATAAGGACTCATCAAAACTGGGTGTACGATGAAATACAACGCAGTGGATCTGGCTCTGCTCGCTGCAAAAATATATGGTTGAATATGACGAGTTATCCGACCTTACTTATTTATTGTATGCCTATTAACAGCCAATTACAGCATTTGTATTTATTTGCGCCAATCATAGGGAGGTCATGGCAGAGTTTCTGTATGTCTATACAAATTCTTAGATAAACTCGTATCACACGCATATATCCCATTTATCCGACCTTATCGGACCTGCACCATAATTGAGGTACATATGCAGTATTTGAAACTGAAAATTGCCATCTCTACGTCGTGATGTAGCAATGTATGAGCGTGCATGGTGTGTATAATGAGCGCGTAAGGGAAGCCGCTAGGCATGTACATTAACAGTGGAGGAGTTTTATTAAATATACGTTTATTATATAACGAATAATCTTATAACAATGCAGCGTGGTGGCAAGTCATCAAGGTTCTCCGGGCAGCCGTCCGCCCCGCCACCGCCCCACCAACCAGTCGACGTCCTACTGCTGCCTCCCTGCCGCCGCCGCCTCGCCGTCCAGCCAGCCACCGACCTGCCTCCGCTCCGCCGACCTGCCACCGCTTCGCCAGTCCTTCCTGCCGCCGTCGTCCTGCGGCTTCACCGTCGTCCTGGAGCCTGCTACCTGCCGCTGCCTTCCTGCGGCCGGATTCCCTCGGCGCCACCGCCGCGGCCTCCGGCACTCTGCCCTCCACGCAAGCCCGCCACCCAACGCTAGAATAAAAATGGGGAAAATGTCAAAAGATGTATGAATTTGAAACGTTTTGTCAAAAGCGGTTAACTCGTGTCATTAGGTGTATGCTAGGTTGTCGGTATGACAGTATGTGTATGTGGTTCCAAGCGCACTAAGGTGCATGATAAAGCTGCATCAGCAAGACTGGTGTGTGGGCTTAGATCCAAATCCATAAAACCCGGGGTTAGGAAGGCTTCTACCTGATGCAACTAGCCCGGTTCGTGGTGTCCATGACTTTGATAGCGAATTGTACGGCTGAGGGACTACAATGAACGTCGTTATCCATTGTAGCCAGGCCTCAGCGTTGCCACAGTTCTACAATACCTACACTCTCTTCCGGTTGGGGGCTCTCACTAGAGCTCCTTCACCTCCGAAATTCAGATGCAAAACCTACCTAGTACAGCCATGCTATAGACGCTTGCGGTTTGCGTTGGTAGTTCCTTATAGACACAATAGCGAAGTTGTCGAGTACAGTTGCTCTATATGCTATTATTAGTTGACCGTGTTCGCTACGAGCGTGTCGTAATAAACTACTGTGCTTGGAAGCTCGATCCTGGGTCTGTATGACCCGACCTCGGCCGAAATACCGCGGCAACCAAAACGTGTGTCAGTACGTGTATGATGAGACATGACGCGACGTGACGCCCACGACCACTACACCTATTGACAAACGTTTTCCCAACGCATACACCTTTTGACGTTTCCCATAAAAATGAGCAAAAGTGTAATCGGTGTGGCCCACAACATAATATACAAACTTATATATTTGTTTTTAGAGTCCATCCTTCTAGGGTACCATGGTTTTGGTACAGGTCGGATAGGTCCTATAGTCGGATATTTCATGGTATGGAACGCAAAATCAAGGCGCCAAATGCAGAGATTCACAGCTGCTGTATAGTAGCTGTTTCTTTTTTTTAAGTTGGGAGGTAAACGACCACAACACGCGGAGTGGCTGGGGTCAGGACCACTAAATTGAGAAAGACGTCTAAGGGCGTGATCATCGTTTTACTTTTTGTGCGGACCACCCCTTAATGTCACTATCCATACACTCGACTATAGCTGCAAGCATGCGTAAATAGTTATGGGGTGCCGGCGACATAGCCAGCGACAGCTTTTCCGACTCCTCGCCTCTAACAGCATTTTACATGTTAGCATGTGAAACAATTGGCGGGAACCCGGGTTCCCGCAAATGATACATGTACCGACCAAATCGCGAATTATTTATTTAATTTTTGGCCTCCATATTGGTACCCTCGGGGCAAGTTAAACCCTCATACCTAAGTGCTGTCGATGAAGGACCACCCTCAAAATATACCACCGGTACTGAATAGACCCCAATAACATACCTTATCATGTCCAAGTTAATCTTTCATGAGCAGGAGGATAGCGATGAGACCGGGAAGCACTGTACCGCTGCACCAGGCGAGCATCTGGATTTTCGTGGAGAGACACAGGACGAGGGCGAAGGTGAATTAACCTTCCGTTCCCCTACTGAGCTTTAGCTGCGTTCTATGTAGGTCATAGACCAACACTTCAATACATTTGCTCATACATGTGTACATTTAATTCTAGGCCTCCACCCATTTATGCACCTCGATTTATCGTAAATCTAGCAGGTGGTCGTTATAAATACAGCAAATTTCGCCCCATATTGCCAAAATCATTGCAAAGCACAATAAATACGTCCAATGTAGACCCCACGAGCTATTTGATATTGGTACCATAGGTTGTCCTCTTTTCAGAGACAATCAGCTGATTCTTCGGCCTCCTGACTCATAGCACCATTGGAAACTTCAAAATTGGAGTGGTTTACAATAAAATGCTTGTGTTAGCATAACCGTACTGTTTTACATACCGCAAGCTCTAATTCTCCCATCAGTAAGCTGGTATTGATACAGTGGTTGCCGGAAAGGCTCGCTGGTGGTGGACAACATTGCGGCTGTTGACTCATACCGTACTTTACTAAACAAGTGCTTTTTGAGATTTTAGAACCGCACTTATCTTCACGTTAAAACGCCCCGATTTATTTTCTAAAACTGCAGTTTTTGTTTAAGATTTTCCACAATACTGCATTTTGATCGGCTAAAACGTAAAATTTAATCCAAAATCATCCGAGGAGCACTTCAAACTGCAAGCAGTGTTGTTGTTAAGCATTTATTCTGTGAAGTAGGTATCTCGCTAACATCGATACTAGATGGGATATACACGGCGGAACGATCTCATTTAAAATGGAGGCCAACGAGAAGCGTCTAGATAACTTGCCAGGTTATGGTTATACGCGCGGTCTGCTGGCCCGTTGGTAGAAAATAAGATATCCCTTCTCGATTAACTGTGACGTTGTCTCTATGTGCAATGCCCGTGTTGGGTGTTTCAAGCACATTGTATACGTCCACGCTTCGACATAATGCTAAATCCTACTTTCATTTTAAATTGCACAAGGCAGAAGGAGAAAGTTACCTCTGTGCGTTGGAAGTTGAGGCAGACGTATTCGTTAGTTACATGTACCAACGATCGCGCCGCTTTAGATGGTTGAAGCGAATTGAACGTTGCGTTAAACGCCCCGATGTAAAGTTCAGTTGTGGTGATTCCAATTGGTGCGAATTTGAGATCCGTTAATGCACGGTTATTTCACGATTCGCCGGTGTGCGATGTGCCATCCTTTGCCACCACATGGCTTGAGATCGCGTAAGTCATGCGCGGCAATCCATGCGCGTGACTTTCACAATCGTGGATTGACAGCCACAGATTAAAGTGATCAACGAAAACAGCTGCAAAAGCTGTCACCAGCGAACGATCGGATCGCCCAGTTGATATTAAATATGAGAGAATTAGTAATAAGCTAGTCGCGCTTTTGTTGAAGTCGGATCTCGAATTGCGGCTGGCACACATCTGAAGATAAGGTAGAGTACTGTATATGTACTGATCGTAGAGCGCACCACGCAAGGAAGGAAGGAAGGAAGGTCGCCAGATCGACACTGCCACTGCTCC